CTCTCAATCTACCTATCTCGATCCTGGCTCAGCACCCAGATTGACCCTGGCGTGACCGGGATTGACATTTCCTCGTCGGCTGTCGACCAATCACAGTCGATGACGCCATTGCGTTTAGAAGTTCTTGAATAAAAAACCCGCGAGTTCTTCATGTGTGTATTATAATAAAGACGCAATCATCAGTTGTCATTTATAAATGCACTTATAAATCCGAAAACTAGCATCGCCATTACATCCGAGCCTAGCCTAGGCCTAGATCATCCGATATACTGTCCATTATCATAGGTCTATGACCTACATCGATTATCCTAACCAGCAACGGTAATGCGATTAACGAAGTCGGGTGCATGTGTTCGTATCGATTCCAAGGAAGTAAAGATCGACCGCAAGAATGTTTCGAGCGCGGGGCCGGTATTTTGATTGTGGCGGCGCTCTAACTTCCTGTTTCGACTTTCCTAATTTGGAGGTCAATCCAACTAAATTCAGGTAGTGTGACCGACCCAGAATTTCGAGCCTGGCTTGAAATCTCACCTGCGGTGAGTCAAGCCAGACTTGAGACTCTAGTGTGACCGTAGCCTAAGAACAATAACATTAATTATCAAACGTGACTATACATGCAGATGGGTACGATTCGTCTATTCAGAATTCAACCCCCCTCCCCACTCTCCTGTTCCTGTTGGTATACTGTAGGTTGGGGAGGCCGTGTCGCAACTCCTATTTTAGAATCTACCAGGGATATGACCAGACTGGGTAGAATTAAGTCACTTTTTGATGGAAAGAAATGGTTTGATTTTAGTATTACTTGTACTCAATGAGAAAGTCATATGAACATATAATTTATTAAAATATTGTCATTGTCACTTTTGCGGATTTTTAACATGTTTTAAGGTACTGCAGTCATAATTCGTCCTGCCTCGCATGAATTGCAGTTGACGTGGTCACGATGGTAGACGGCTTGCATGAATCGCATGCCTTGCTGACTTGCAGTTTGTCAATACCCATCCTGATGTTTGGGAAAGAAATCTTCTGGATCAATATCCTCAAAGTCTTTCAAAATTTTAACCCTTTCGCATACAAGATTCAAAATTTATTTTTGAAATTTTTTTTAGTGACAAATATAATTAAATATAATTTTTTCTATTTCAGTAATATAATAAAGTTTGATAACATTTGAAAGATAATATTTAATAACATTTTTTACCTAAATAATCTATTAGTTGGTGTTATAAAATAAAGAAAAAAATGAAAAATGAATTATTTTAATTAATTTTTATAATTAACTTTTATGAATAATTTTGAAAAAAATTCAACAGCCAGTATAAGAAAAATGAATCACGACATCAGCATAGATTATTCCTTTACAAAATAAATCTAAATTTGAATCACAATCAGGAAATTTGGAAGAAAAAATTAAATAAAAAATTTCACCACAAGTGGGGGGGGGGGCCTATGTAGGCTTCCCAAGCCAAACCTTATCACCACTTGCTTAGCCTATATTTATTTGTTCATTTAAAGATGTATTGTCCCATGCTAAATATAAAAAAAATCATAAAAATATTTTTTGAAATTAACTTGCCCATTTTGAAGTAACATAAATGTTATCAACTTGAACATAGAAATTAGTGTATTAAAAAAAATCTACCCATCAGTTTACAGCGAAGAATGATAGTCACTGGAAGTATCTTATTATTTTTATATAATTTTTTGGTTTAAAAATCAGGGTACACATTTATAAAATTCAATAATTTTTATGCACCAGTTAATAATTTGTATGCTATGGCAATATGAGCTAGTTTATTTCAAAATAATTTTTTATGATTTTTTGACAATAGCAAGGGACAATACATCTTTAAGAAATAGACCCTATGCTATACTATTTAGTGGTGGAAGAATTTTTTAATCTAGCTTGAGTGGTAAACCCAAATTAGTGATTAAAGCCCCATTCCCGGCAAAATTTCACTAAAAATGAATTTTTTTAGAAAATATGCATTTGCATTACTCCAATTATTATAAATCATGGAAAAATATTGGCATGAATTTTAGTTTTACACAAAAGAATAAAAAGAATGAGAAATACAGACTATTTCTCATAAAATATTACCATTTTCTCGACGAATTCATCGTTACTAGGCAAATTCAGAGGTTGTAGATCGCATCCACTGGAATACTCTCGCTTTTATGTATACTTTATACAGTCAATAAAGTGCGCCTTCTCTAATGAGATTAGGTTTTGTACTTCGCATCTCGCACAATGCGGTCGTTCGGTTTGGCTGAGATATGTTTGTTGTGTGTCAAAATCTCAGTCAGAATCAGTTTTTTAACAAATTTTAAATAATTCCTATGAAATATTATATTTCACAAGTGTCAATACTAGCAACGGAAAATATCATTTCGGCCATTTTTATGTGTGATAACAGAACCTAAATCGAGGTAAGGCTAGGCCTAGCCTAGCAGCGCTGGATAGGCTAATGTTTTCGGCGCCTACGTTATTTCTTCTCACGACCTATCGCAAAATGAAAATGAAAAATTCATCCGCATTTATTTTTTGTGTGGAACACAAAAAAATCAAATTTCAGTCTTATTTTACATTTTTTTCATTCTTAGGAATGTCTAAATTCAGTTAAACTAGCAATTCCGTATTATATTTATAAATCTTTATAACATTATACAAAAATCAGATTTTTCTTAAAAATTGAAATTTTGCCGGGAATGGGGCTTTAAGATGACATGTTGGCACATTTCAGAGACTGAAGCCAAGAAATTAAGGTGTATATTACAACGCAGAGGTTTTTTTTTATTCAAGATTCATGTTTGAACCCAAGAAACCATTTTACTACACATTTTTATTTCTAAGATTCATTTTGAAGACCTGTGTAGGGTATGATTTGTTTTATATTTTTATTATATGTTGTTTAATACTTTTGTATCATGAATAGTAGTTTGATGATAATAATAATAATAATAAATGGACATTTATAATGCGCTGGTATCCGTCAAAGATTATCATGGTGCATTGACAAGTCTGAGCTTTAGGCCAAGATGAATAACCAAACGAAATAAATAAAAACTTTAAATAAGAAATGCGAATGCCAAAACAATAGTGATAATTGGCACTGAAAAACCAGGGTGACTAGGGTGGGACATTTCAACATCTGATATCGAAGCAGCATCGCTATCAAACCCGTGTGCACGCTGGCACAAATTAGGCAGCACAGTATGCTGGGCTCCGGTACCTTCCACGATGTGTATATATCGTGAGTAGGCCGGTGTTGTGATAAAGGAATTATTTATATGTTGTATCATGAATAGTGTCATGATGGAAAAATGGTATATTAATACTGTATTTTATTTTGTTGTATCATGAATAGTGTCATGATTAAGGTACTCTGTAGATTATGTACCTATATGAAAGTTACAAGTATTACTTTGCTCTAATAATAATGTTTATTACAATGATTATTATATGAGGATTTCAACTATAGATTTGAATGGTTTATCATGAGTGTTGATTAGACGGAACAAAAGTAATGAGGCTATTGTTGTCGCTCATAATTTTGTTAGGCTTGATAAAAATGCAATGCATGACAATAAGTTCTATTTTTAGATAAAATATAGTATTATAGTCTATATTTAAAACAGTGTAAAGTTTTATACTATTATCCTTATTATTTACAACAGGTGAACTGTTAAGAAGATACAACTACTGAAATATTTTGATGCATATGTTGGCATTTTGTGTTGCCAAGTACTATGATTTAATCATAGAGCTATTAAACAACTAGAGTGCTGACAAGATGGCGAAGCAATGCAGAGTTATGTATGTGTACCATCCAAGATGGCCGTCGTAGTAAAGCGCCACCTTCAGGCTTATACATATTATTACCATAAATAAGCCCTCTGACTGACTATTATTTCATTAATGATAATGAGTAATGGTAATAACAAATTATTAAACTATCATAGCCAAAACGAGGCCAAGTGGAGCATCTTATTCAAAAATAAAGTACCAAGGAATGAAAATTAAAATCGTGTACATTACACCCAAACACAGCAACGCTCGAGTTTCAAACATACGGGTAACTAGCTGTACTGAACTTTTTAAGTAAATTGAGGGCGCAATTGCAAACGATGGTGCTTAGGCGAAATTTGATTGGCTAAATCTATGGCAGCCATCTTGGATGGTACACACACATAGCTCTGCGTATTTCGAAAATCGAATACATTGCAGTTAGCGCTCTAGTATTCTTATTATATCTCTATGGATTTAATTCACTAAGTTGATGATACTGCAAGTTTATGTTTAGTAGTATGTGGTATGTTTGCACATGTGGTGCAATGGGTGTACTCATACTTTCGACTTTTGTTGTTCTTTGAATTCATTTATTTTGCTTTGTTGTACGTTGACATTTATGGTTGTGTTAAATAAACCATTGAGAACTTAAAGCTACTGTGTTGAATCATTACTAAGAAGTCACGAAAATCTAACACTGTCAAACTAAACATAACCAAACACCTCCCACCCCCACCCCCCACACGACAGAAACTGACACCTGATCTAGTTTACAAATTTTTCAATTTAAGAATAACCTAATTGGTACAACTTAAGGGTTTAACGTGTGTGACATGCTCATAGTACATAGTTTTTCAGATGGTCATGACTGAAGTATGACATACGTTCCAATGTTGTTATGAAGGAAGCATTATATTCCCCACACAGCCCTTACATACAGTCTGGCTTAAATGTTGTATACTGTTTTTCAGATGGCCACTTTGAAGTATGACCTTTCAGATGATGATGTTGAAATATCAACAGGAAGCATTGCCTGCAAAGATCTCTTTGAGAACTTGCTTACGCCAATGAAGATGACACGACAATCGGTCGCACACAGTAGTGAACCGATTAAAGTGTATTTGAGAATCCGGCCCTTCACTGGTACTGAAGTAGAAGATGGCGAGTCACAGGTAGCCTACTATAATCCATTCTAAAACGGACATGATACGGTACTTGTGTTTGAACCTATCAGGTATCCATTCATGCTCCTGGGTGGAGAGAGACAACCAAATTTTGCCTTTGCCAAGGACACAAGCAATATTGTAAATGCATATTGGGCCGATTCGGACGAGTAAAATTTAACTGGGTACCACCAGCTGAGCGGTCGCGTGCGGCAATTAAATAATGCCCCTGGGTATGGAAAATTTGAAAAACATCTGGCCCAAAAACCCACCTTTTTTACTGGATATTTCATGAACACCTTGCCTCAAGGCGTAATTAATCACTCGTAACAAGGCCCAGGTCACAAGTTGACCCTTCAGATTTGTAAACAACGCCGGGTCAGAGTGCACTGGACAAAACGAACCTCGCGACCACGCTGCATGATTCTTCGCGTTGTTGCCCAAGCTTTCTTTCCACGCTGGTCGTTGTCTTCGTCGTTGCTGTACTTTCTTCGTCGAAAAGCTTGGTTTAGATCAAATCCGTCGTCGAGAAGCAATATTAAAGTTGTCAGGATAGTTATGTCGGCTGGGTTAATCATAATTCGGCGTCAATTTGTAAGGATAATCGCAAAGGAAATGAGTAAATTGTATAAAAAGTAAGCAGAAATAGCGTAAATTCGTGTATGAAGTATTGAAATTGCCGCGAAAACATTGCTAAATTGACACGGGGTCGTCACTCAGGTCCCAAACTATTCAGAATTCTGACCTTGCAGAAGCTTGTAAAATACGTAACTTCCGTCAAATTAATGGGTAAATGGATTGTTATTTTACTCGTCCGAACGACCGTCACATTTAGCGCCGAGGTTATTAGTAGATTACCCATGTAATTGAGTTTACGTCCGAATCCACCATTGAGGGAACTGCTCAAAGTTGAGAAGCTGAGATATGTGCTAAATCTGCTAAATTGGTAGCCATTGTGTATGCGATGTACCGTGGATATCTCGGTTCAGTTCCGTCTGTTGGTTCAGTTCCATCTGCTGCTCCCCAGTGTCTCTGCTGTAGGGCAGAAGAGACACTAAGCTGTTGTCCCATTTGCATGTTAAAGAACACAGCTCTTCGTAAAAGAGCAGAGGAATACTCTCCCGGTGTATTGCCCAATCACCAAAAGTCTTTGTGGTTTTATGTCTATGGTGTTCATTTCATTTTCATTTATTTATTTCATTTATTTTTTTTTTATTTCACCAGTTAAAACAACAATACAAGGACAAAAAAGACAGGACAACACCCTTGTCGGCAACGGGATAAACAAAAAGCAAACTTAATTGTACGACTGAATAAATCCAATCCAATAAAAAGCTAAAGTGCAGCCGCATTGCCAGACAGCTACTGGACCACTTGCTCTACACATTGTTTTTTATTATTTCTAAATCAAATTAGAAATCTTAAAATTATGTGGAAATGAAATAATGACGTCATTACTTACTTATAAAACTTGTGTGAACAAAGAATAATGATTTTTTGTGAATATTCTATTCAAACAGAATTGTATGGAAGTGGTGGATAACTCGTTTCTACTAACGCATGCCCCCCATGAAAGCTTCAACTTCAAAAATATTACACGTGTGGGAGGAGCTTTGACGCACAAATATACTTTCTCAAACATTTTTCATGAAGACACCAGTCAAAAGCGGTTCTTTGATGAGATGATGTTAGGAACCGTGAAGGATTTTGTAGATGGACAGAACAGCTTAGTGTTTACGTATGGTGTCACAAATGCTGGGAAAACACACACAATACAAGGCAAGTTAATCCTTAAGTTTATTTTTAGTGCATATTTCTTTATTCCTTTCCTCAAACCCGCTAGAAAACAACAATGTATGAGTCATCGACAGACTTTCCAAGTTAGACTAATTTGCACTGGCAGGCGCGAGACCTTTGATTTAAAAATCTCTCTCCTAGGGTGTAGGCACCCAGAACATTTTTTTCCCTAGATGCCAGGAAATGCATTCTTTGTGACTTTAAGTTAGTATTTTTACAACTGAAAGTCATAAAAATCTGCATATTTTCTTGGGAATGCATGTTTCTGCCGTTTGAACCTATCACTCTGACATGAGCTACGAATATGCTGCTTTGTAAAAGAACGATATATTTACAGTGTTGGTGCAGCTAATTTGATCCGATAGAAAAACTTATAAGAGAATTTTTGCCGATATTTATCAAAATTTACATAAATAAAAAAAAATAATAAAAAAAAATGTGTCTGCTTTTTAATTAAATACAGGTAGTGCCCAGGATGGAGGCATCTTACCACGTTCATTAGATGTTATCTTTAACAGCACCAAGGGCAGGCTTTACCCTGGAATGCAGATGAAACCTAAGCTGTTTGCTGATGTCATTATGCTGAATGAAACACAACTGAAGGCGGAGGAAGATAAGAAAGCCGCAGTTTTGCGTTTAGCTGTTCCCAATATTGGAGTATGTTTTTATTCTGACCTACTGTACTCATCTATCTACCTACATTCTTACAACTCATCAAACAGAACATCATGAATAAAATATTAATTTAAACAAAAACAAAAATATTGTATACTTTTTATGTTTAAAAGTTTTACCAAGGAACATAACAAGAACATGCACTAAAAATGTTATTGTCTAGAAATGATTTCATGAAGTACAAAAGTGTTTGTTGGTTATTAGTATTTCTACTAATATACCCTTTAACTGTGTTCATCCATTCCAGGTACAGTGGTATTGTAATTATTTTTCGGCAAAATAAATGAATTGAAATCTGAGAGTGCCATTTCCGGCCATCTAGAAGCGCCATATAATCATAAACTTTCTTGCGTCAGCTCCAACCATGGTAGGGCTGAGGTGGTCTAGACTCTCCATCTCAAAAAGTCCCTTCTTAGGCCCCTCTATTTAAAATTCCTGGATCTGCCACTGAGGTACCCACACTGTGCAGTACATTTGTTTGGGCATTCCTTTATTGCAGCTAGAGGTTAGCATTCATAATTCCTTTTTGTAGATTTCACAAATATATTTTATGCAATGCATATTTTTTACTTCCCTATATAATTTTATTTTAAAAAATCCCGGAAAGTCATGAATATTATGATATTCTGTTTTCTTATTTTAGGATGACAGCAATGTTTCTGAATCAGACTCTTCAAGATTATCAGAAAACTCAATTGCTGAGGATTCAACATTTTCAATAGCCCTAGATGAAACAAAAGATGGAGAATGTAAGTTTACTTGGATGTTATTCAAGTTTTTGTTTCTGGTACGATATGTGCATTATCACTACAAGAAGCCAAAGTTCAACAAATTGTAGATTATAAATATATCAACTTGAACATAGATATTAGTGTATTTAAAAAATGTTTGCCAAAAATTTTACAGCGAAAATGATTACTGACCTTGTAATATAACAACTTACTTTTAAATGGCAACTCCCATTTATCAATTAATACTTGGTAAGATTACCTATACGACAAAGGTATAACTTGGGAATTCCCCTTCATGCCTATTCTAAACAACAGAGCTGTGGTTGTCTAGGCCTGTTGAGACAAACTAAACCCATGTGCGCTGCACTGGGCGAGCCAACCAATTAGCGTTCGTGAACGTGAAACAGCAACCATGTGCTATGCACTGGGCGAGCCAACCAATTAGCGTTCGTGTACGAAACTATGTCTACTCAGCTTCGTGTAGAAAATTCGACCAGACGAGTTCTTCCATGGTTTGCCACACGAAGCTAAGGATCAGAAAGCAATAATTTTGAGCACCATCGGTAGTTGTTCATCTCACTCAGTTCACATGGTTTTAGATTATAACAACCCGGTATAAGACTCAATCAATGTTGCTGTTTAATGAAAATACGTTGCATTATGGTTTGTTAATTGTTGTAGTTTATTGTTATAGTCTTTTTAATTATGGTTGCTCTCAAAAGGGCCGTTTGTTTTGAATATTTTCGGGGTTTTTGATGACGTCATCGTCCATACGAGGCGTACGTAAAACTGAGGGTTCGTATAACTGGGGTACATAAAAACGAGGTTCTACTGTAAATATTAGTTTTGGCTACAATTTCAAAAAGTTGGGCGTTATGGCTCCTACATGGTCTATTTATCTTCGGCAAACAGACAACTGACTTAATATTGATTTTTTTTGTTCATAACTTTATAAAGGAATACAAGCTGATTTATTTCTCGTCGAGATTCTAGTGTCATCCAATTTAGTTTAGCCAGCATATCGGTCACACTGCTTTTCTTGGATTTAGTCATTGCAAACAATTGCACTTTCTCAAGAGAAGTAATATTTTTCTTTGTAAAGGAACTCCATGCGACACTACCATATTCAAGGTGTGGTCTGACCAGTGTAGAATACAATTTTTCTTTCACATTACGGGATGCAGGATGGTGGTTATGCCCCTTTTACCCCCAGTTCCTAGCCTGGCTTTAATGTACACTATGAAGCTCATCAGTTTTGTCTCAATTATAGTTGTCAGTTGCTTCATTTTAGCTCATAATAAATTTTGTTTCATTCTATATTTTGTGCATATTATTTACAATTCATTTAATTGTAATTTTCATGTTTTCATAGCTGTTTCCAACATCTTAAACGACATTAATCTGAGAATTACAGACAACACGTCGGTAGAAATTGAGTCACAGGGACCAGTCAAATTTTCAATCTGGATTTCATTTGTTGAAATATACAATGAATATATATATGATCTACTAGAGCCTATGCCCAAGGGCAAGAAAGCTCGTAGACCTACACTGAAACTTGCAGAGGACAAGAATGGTAATGTTTATATAAAAGGTATGGTGATAAATTATTTTATTTACATCAATTTTTATAAAGTTTAAACATTATATCACAACCTGTTGTATTTATTGACTGGTACACATTTAATAATTTTATCCTTTTATGCATTGTAGCTTCAGCTGAGCATTCAATCACATTTTTCGTCTGTCAAACTCAATTTCTACATGTGTGGCGAAGACAAACCTAACCAGTCACTCGTCGGAAAAATCGATTTTGACCTTTTATGATATTATTAATCAGTAAAGTAAATGAAACTTTTTGTTGCATAGTTATGCAAGTTTAAATGTACTGCTCTACAGAGAACAACTTTTGAGAATTCAGCCTTGAAAGTTTACCGACGCGCTGTGAACCCCTTTGAGCGTTGAAGCGACCCGCGCTGAACAACATAGCAAAACATTTCCCTAGCAACGGGGTAGTTACAGTGGCTAGATCTTGTTGAAATTTGGCACACCTAATTGACATACATAGTTCTCAGAAACTTCCAAATTTTATTGAAATCCTGCCATGCCTTGTATATTTAATCGTAGTACAAATATCGTCGAAGGTACTGAAATCATTCCTACATCGTTATTTAAGCCTAGGTTTTGAACATTAGGCCTAACAAGAGGAACCATGTTATTGTCGTCTGAGTCTGCAAACGCAAAGGCAGGCCCTGAAGTTGAGAGGTCGTTTTCCTCATCTTCATCTCTAGTACAATCGACATCCGTACCGAAAAAGTCGTTGAATAACTTGCAAGTTTCATCACCAACAATTTGCTCTCGGTAATACCGCAACTTTTTGCAGAGTTCTTCTTTATCATCCATACCGGACACTCAACTGTAATGTGCGTTGATGTGCGAACATGTTTGTTTTAAACGAAGTGTATCTGAGCATGCGCATATGCAGTAGGCTGTTGCGTCATATCATGTTAACCAATCAGAGTGCTTCTTCTAACACCGCGTTGTTAAGGCCAAATATAATTTGTTTACGTCACTTAAAAATGTTATAATTGGTTACAATGAGGATCTGTAGATTATTTTATCCAATGAAAGCTTATTGAATAACCTTACACTTGTACCAAGCACAAAACACTTTCTTTGAAACATGACGTCGTACACTGCAAACGAAAGTTGGCAAATTCACGGCAGAAAAATACAGATTTCAAATATTTCTCAAGGAGAGACCCTCACAAAATCGTACAAAAATGTAATTTTTATGTTGAAATTAGGAAAATTAATGAGATAGCATGATACATAGATATATAAAGGTAAGTTTAATGCAATAAAAAATATTTCAAATTGTTTGTCCTTACAACATGTTTTGGGCTATATCTCAATTCACGATTTGCGACGAGTGACTGGTTTGGCTTGTCTTCGCCACATGCATGGATAATCAAAAATCACACACTATCAGACAAAATTAGTTCAAACATTGGCTTCCTAACTCTGACAGACAAACATCTGGATAGTAAAATGTCCAGCTTAACGCTTAGCAGACAGAATTGGTGACATACCTCCCCTGAATTAATATAATCTCAATGTTACTTGATAAAAGGCCTTCGGCACCAAATGTTATCTGTACACTAAACGCCAAACAGTGGCTGTCTAGGGCGAAAACAACTTTATTCTAAAAATGTCCCCTGTTACATGAACCATGCCTCCTGCGCAGATGCACTTTTGCAGCAGTGTTTCCAAATTTCACAGTAGTCGTCTTCCGTGCTGTAGATGATAGTCGTCAGTGCTTTTAGTTGTCTCTTTAAAGTTAAGGGTAAAGCTATAAATGTAATTGAGTAACGTTAAATAGTGTGAGTCATGTTTGAATATAAAGAATATAATTGCTGTATAACAATTCAAGTGGCAGTGACTCAGAAGTGCTAGCAATGATAGATAGCGCTGCTCATTGATTCTATAGGTTTGACAGAGGTGATGGTCACATCGTCTGATGAAGCATACAAGATGCTCAAGATTGGCCAGAAGAATCTAAGCTTTGCTTCTACCAAACTGAACTACCGCTCCAGCCGTAGTCACTGCATGTTCAGAATTAAAGTGCTACGTGTTGTTGACATGGCCGAGCCACATGTAGCCAGAGTCAGCATGTGAGTAAATTTCCTGAATTTGTTATATTATCTCAAGTTGTGGGAGTAATGTATAAACCATTTTATTGGATTTGTTTTGAAACAGCGTCTCGCAACTCACTGGTGGACTTCCAGCAGCATAGCATGAGCAGCTGGCTAGGTGCAAGTAGGGCACCACGCAGCAGATAGCGCCGCTAGACCTTTGCTATAGCAGCAGTAGACAACAGATAGGACATTGAAATAGCTTTTCAAGACGTAGACTTGTTTTTAATATAAACATTTCATGTTTTTGCCATTTAAAAATATTTGTGCTCGTTTATTTTTTATCGTTGAATTAATCCAAATTTCGCGAAAATGGTCTATAATTGTTTAAAATTCTACAAATCACCTTTAAGAATGGTTTGATTTGTATATAACTACCCTAATTGTTTTTTCTTAAATATATAGGTTGTCATTTTGTGATCTGGCAGGCTCTGAGAGGTCTACCAGGACACCGAGTGTTGGAGACAGAATGAAGGAGGCTGCCAACATTAACAACTCGCTGCTGACATTAAGAAAATGCATCAAGGTGTTGAGATACAATCAGCACCATCAACAAAAGTTAGTTTGATGCTTATTTCTCTTTGCAAATATTCATTAACAATAGCATAGAATGTAGAAACTACCACTTTAGTGTAATATGTTATTTATTTGTGTCTTTAATTGTATGGATGAGAAAAAAATATCTGATTTTGTCGTATTTAGAGGTCAGAAGGTGATTCCGTTTCGGGAAAGCAAGTTGACCAGATTGTTCCAGAGCTTCTTCATGGGTCATGGAAAAGCATCGATGATAGTTAATGTCAACCAATGTGCCTCAGTATTTGATGAGACTATGCATGTGCTCAAGTTTTCTGCCATAGCCAAACAGGTTAGTGCAAATAATATTTCTCATTCAAGAGGTGGGTAGTATGTATAAGCAATATATTAGCAAGAGACAATACATCTTTAATAATTAACACAGTAGCAATCAAGATAGAGTTGATAACAAAAGATATACGAAGGACAAAAAATTGATAGAGCACCAATGTATGGTAACTTTACCTTTTTGATGCATGAAGGAGGAAAATATAGAAAAATAATTTATGTCAAGTAATCAATATAAATGATTTCAAAAGCATTCAGAAGTAGCCCATAGTTTTACCACTTGCATCCTTTTTCATTCAAGGTGACAACAGTCACTTCAGAACTTGAAAAGAAGTTGGAAGAGGTGATAAACCCAAAGATAGCAGCTGCTAGAGTTTTGTCCAATAATCAGGCTGCCAAAACTCCTCAGGCTTCAAGACAGAGCATTGCCTGGACTGAAATGCCAGACAAGAGCGGATCTGAAAACACTATTATAGAAGAGGATGAGGAGGAAAACTCGTACAAAAAAGTAAATTTTCTTTCAACAATTTAATTTTTAAAGAGCTTATGACACAGATTCCACATATCGTCGATCTTTTGGTTGTACATGATAGAAAATAAATTCTAGAATACGAATCCAGCTTTTGTATTTGACAATTCGACCCAGTTAATATAAAAAACATCTTTTAAAATGTCGTTATTTAAAATTGGGAGAAACCGTCTTCAAAAAGTGGCAACCCGAAAGGTCATCGTTGCTACGTCATAAGTTGGAGACAAAAGGTAAACAAAGCCGAGCGTACGCTGTGTGACTATTTATCGGTCTGTTATACACATCTGGATGTGTATAAGAGACAGGAGTGCCCTGTGTGGATGTTTTGGACATGGTTCTTCAGGCTATCAAATTTTGCCAACATTTCTTGAGGATCCCCATAAGGGGTAGAAGAGGCAACCCAATATATGTGATTGTTGATGCTTTTGGCCCACTCCTGCACAACCTCACAATCCTTTTGTTTTCCCAGTGCTCGCACCCGCTTTCCGAGACCTTAAAAAATAATTCAAAGTGTTTTTGTGTAAGTAACCTTGTGTAAGTCAAATTTTATCAAGCTGAACAAATTATCATTCCTGCTTTACATCTGACTGTGTTATTATTTACATACATAATTTTCATATAACAACATCCAATCTAAAATCACAATAAAATCAACAAAACAAAAATGAAGTAGTACCTTTTGCAACATGCCACACATCATAGAAATGTTGGACATCCTTCATGTTTTCTCGGATCCACTTTGCAACCTGTAGGTGTCGGTCTGTCACAATATCTTTTATTTTCAATTGCTCTGCTTGAATTGCAGCCACTCCAAGTTTTAGTCCAGCCAACTCCATATGGTAACTCCCACCAACCATGTTTTTCTAAATTACAATAAATCAGGAAAAAGTATTTATTGTGTACAAAAAAAAATGCTACACAGTATGTAAACACACACACAAAACACGGCATACTGTATCTATAAATAAGTTTCAGGTCTTACCTGGACCAGTTGTGTATCCAGAATTTTGTTTGTTTCCAAATCCATCAAGGTATATGACCCAAATTTGGCTGTGTGCCCTGGGCTGTCCATCCTAGCATCTCCACCTAAAATAAAATTGACAAAATTATTTCAAAGTAACCTTGAAAGATTTATAAGCCTGTAAGTGTTTTTTACTTCTCATCCAACATCATCACTTAAGTTTAAAAAATCAACCAATTATTAAAGTTTGTACAGTATTTTACAATTGCCCTCTTCAAAATTAGCTTACCTAATACCAATGGCTTCCTGTGTTCTATTGCCTCCTCAACCAACACTTGTCTTTGTCGTTTCCAGACTCTAACAATACTAGGCTGCAAATATTGTTGTTGGTGTCGATAATATGTCCTTTCAGATATGACGCACAGATTTATATGGGAAAGTGCACGTAGCATCTTACGAACACAGGAACCGGAGTAAAGAATGGTGGCTGACAAAAGGATATTTCCAGCTGCTGTATCCTTGATTCTGGGTTGGCTGCACCACTCACGCTTCTCTTGACAAAACTTGCACCTTTGTGTAATGGTGACACATGTCCCAGTTATCCTCTCTATCTTTGGTTTGGTTGGACAATGGCAAACATTGCATGAACAAAACAGATTAAGTAGCTGCTTTTCGAAGACGATAAACTTTCTCTCATCTGCTGGGTCCATAGATTTTGGTGTATCACTCTCTGACCTACATCATGGCGATAAAAATTTAAAATTTTACTACAGGTTATGATCACATTCATGTTCACCCAAACCACCACATAATTTACTTTTATGGCATGTACAACACCAGGTATCCCCTAAAGTCCATGGTAATGTTGTCTCAATCCCCACCACTTACATCCTCCTCCCCCCCCACTTTTTCTGACATCTCTGGATCCATACCTGATCATATTAATAGAATGGTGAGATGGAGAATGTCATTATCAACTTACGTTGTAAAAGATGAGTCAAGATGTGTGTCCATGGGATCAAAAGTCTTATCTCCTCTATCACTCTTGACAGGAGATGACTCTGCATCGCTTACAATTGGGGACGATGTTGACATTGGTTCAAAGTTGACTGGCTCTGCAGTGAAATCGACATTCTCAACTGATGGTTGTCCAGATGAAATGATCATAGGAGATGCAACAGGGGATACATCTAATCCAGTGATTACAGGATCAGTCTGAGTTTCTAAAAAGAAGAATTGCTAATTGAATATATTTATGACCGTATCTCAATTTTGAAAGGATGGATTTAAGTTTTTGTCTTCTAAATTAACTTCTACAAAACAAACCCATTTGACAATCTACAGCAAGGTTTTCTTTTTGTATCCTATGCTCAACCACTTCAGAATTCCTATGTTAGTGTTTCCAGCTACTATATTGTATATATTCTGTACTACAGTGGGAAACCTTATATGATAACATACAATTTGCCTACCGTTTGTAACCATTTTTGGGCAAACTTGAATACGTATAGACCTCTTGTATTTGGTAGTCTTCTTTTTTGGAGCGGGACTCTGTGAAGTTTAATGAAAATACATTACAGTACTATATTCACGATGCAGCAGCATCTATTGCATGAGTTAGTACATCGTAGGTACCTTTCAATATATTATTGTATATATAGGCCTAGTACAAACAAGTGCATAAAGAGGGGAGGGTCTAAATTAGTAATAAGCATTGCCTCGTAAAATTAACTTGAATATTTGACTCACCTGTTTTTTCTTGGCAAGTTGCTGGCTCTGGTAGTCCTTGACAAAAGAAGCCATGTGGTTTGAAGCATTTTCGATGGTTTGCAATGGCATACAGCAGGTAGTAGTAGGGGTGCTTGGTGCTTGCTGTTCCACAACTTCATCTTGTTGAAGGATTTCATCAACCACCTTTAAATAAAAAGTAGTTTGTCAGACTTACACTATTATGTTAGTAACATCATTTATAAGCATCGTTGCAGTAGCCTAACTCTTTTCTACTCCTCCTTCACCCTCTACCTCTACTAGGCCTCTAGGGAGTAGAATAGGCCTAGCCTAGGCCCTAGCCTTGGTTGATATCTAGCCTCAGACTCTAGGCCATACAGTACATACAGTTTTGAATACAGTATTCAAAATTGTTAATAGCAAATTTCTGTATTTTATGGCTATTTCCTAGGCTTAGTTGAGCTAAAAATACAGGTACATGTCTCGTGTATCATTTCGTAGGCTAGGCTACACGCCGACGGGTACCGCCGACGGTATTCCTTTGTTTTTTGGCCAGTCTCGCTTTGTTTATCTAATTTGGTATTTTCACACTTACGTCTCGTCTCCGGCGTTTGACAGAACTTGTCCTTTTCTCTTTATCCGTAATGGCCGTGGCTTTATATTTCTTTATTGTTGGAACTGCATCGGCCTTTAGTTTTAACTTATACGGCAGTCCTAACTTTCTCTTCATGATGCAGGACGACTCAAAGCAGGTGTTATCGTCAAAGTGCATGCTGCATATCTTGGAGTATTCACCGGGGCTAGAAAAATCGGCCCTCGTAAATTGTACAAAACGCGTCCATTGACGTCTCAATCTTGGATTTTTAGGAAATCCGAAGAAACTTACATCATCAGCCGAAGTAAGAAAGCAATCACCAACCACACAATTGACTGGCATAATATTGTAATACGAAAGTAAACTTGTATATAATTATAAAGCTAAAGGTTCGCTCGCGATAACAATGCTGAAGATCAGAGTTCAGCGACCGCGTTTCTGGACGACTACAATTAATGACGTCACACACTGACTGGCCTGTGACCTTAGCAATTTTCAAGATTTCGGACTTCGCTTAAAATTTAGCGCCAGTAAAAACCACCAAAAATCACTTTTTTCATAAAATATTGGAAAAACTGGGTTAGATATCAAAATTTGATAATATATAGAACGTATTTACGACGAAAATAACCAAATTTAAGTCATGTCATAAGCTCTTTAATAATGGCCGGCATTACTATTTTTAGATTTGGTTACCTCCAATGTTCTTTTTGATTATTAGTTAGTTTTGAGAATTAAATATATATAATTGTCCCCTGAAAATGAAAAAAAACCAAAGAAATTTTTCTGTTTAGCGTCCAATGTCAGCTACGAACAGCCTTGGGCCCAGTCATTCAAGGCGAACAGATAAACATCACGCAGTAGCTAGGTCATGGAGGAATCCATGGCTACTAGACACACAGAGAGAAATCACCTTCTCCGCATGTTACAGCGACAAGGAGAAGTTGATTTCCGTCTGTGTGAGCACCGTGAAGTTAAAACATCCATGTCATGTATCCATTCCACAATGCAACGTGGGACAAAAAGTTAATAAACAACGCAACGATTTCCGGACGAAATACTGTGAATGAACCCTTCGTACAGAGCATAGTCCCAATAGCGTTGTCAAGGAGATTATCTATTAATTAAAACGACACACCAGTAAAATGTTAGATAAAGTGATAGTTATGCCTTCCATTGTTTTAATAAAGTGCATAAATCGCCTTATGAATACTTAAAAAATCGATTGTAATCAACCTGAAATGAAAAAGGAACTCAATTAAGCAATTGTTTCTACAACGGCTCTTTTTCAGTAGACGTTTAATTTGGATTTGGTATGTCATTAGATTCATATATCAGTCTACATGTAAATTACACTCACATTCCCCAAAAACATTGCTAATTACGGAGGAAATTTGCAGAGAATGAAATTTAAATTTGTTAGATATATTTTAGATTTGACTCTAAAACAAAACCACGAGGGTTTCTTATTTATTTTAATAAATTTGTTTAATTAAAAATTCAGCAAGTTGTCACGCACTATGAGGCGATCTGACATCATGACAGCCAAGCACATGGGATTTTTACCCAGCCACATGACCTGATATTTACAATGCATTTCGCATCGTGACTGCGAAGAATGCATTGTGTTTACAGTTTAGAAAAAAATGTCAGACCGAAAATGCACGTAAAAACAATGTAAAAGCATTCATTTTATTGGTACAGTAATTCAATTTGCTGTGCACTACAGCTAAACAACAGGTACTGTACGTATTATATGTTAAATAATATGTTAACTTTTTGTAGGCTAGTCATACCGAATTCACTGACTGGGCTATGCTAAGCCTCATTTAGGCTAGGCCCTAACTGGCCTACCTTATTCGGAAAGGATTCAATAGAAATGTTCCACAAACCAATCTTTCCGGAAAACCGAACACCGTACCGAACATCGTATTGTGTGCACTGTACATACAAATAGATTCCTGTATTTATATTTCATACAGACACAACAGAACGATTTTTCTGTATCTGTCAGTGTTACTTCATCGGTGATGGCCAGCAAATACACAAATATGGTATTTGGGGCTTTCGAAGTTGGCAAGATAGTGGCTAGTGAAAGGGATTGAGGACCAGTAAAAATATTAATTTACTGGTCCACTTGGCTAGTTAAAAAAAACCTTAAGGGAAACCCCTAAACAACATAGATGGTGCCACCCAAGTGCAAGTCCCAACTACAATAGTTCTTGAAAGAAAGCAAATTTTCAGTGATTTCAAATTCTCCATCATTTTATGTTAATGACTTATATAGTTTTTGTTATAGAAAATTAATTAATCTAATGGTGGTCTAACATGAATTATAAAGTTACCGGATATCTAAAATTTAAATGAGCTCTTGTTATTGGTTAGTTTGATAGCTGTTGCTTGCCAGCCATCTTAAGCTACACTACAACTAGGACTTTATTTATCGTATTTAGAAATTTGATTATTTGTTTATGATTTAATTATTAGTTCGACAGGGCTAGAAATTTACTTTTTTAGCCACTAGCAACCTATTGCTAAAATGTGCTAGTTGTTAAAAATGTAACTAGCAAAATGAGCTGCTCAACTAGTAAAATATATTGATACCAACTCACCATATTATTTTCAGAAAATAAATTGTATGAAAATAACTAATGATGTACTTCTATAAATTTGTGTGTTAAATGTTTTAATATAATATTTTCTGTTATGGTGAGTGTATTACAATAAATATCACAAACAAATAGCCAAATGAGTAAGAAATCGATTTCTATACCTTGTACATTTATTCACTTCAGTGTCGGAACATTTTCAATATGAAAAAAAAAAAAATCACAGATACAAAATAAAAATTTATTATTATATACTTAATTTATTTTTTAAAATAAGTTAAGCTTATCATCCATTTAATTTTCATTTTGTATCTGTGATTTTGTTTTCATATTAAATATGTACGATGGCCCACAAGGGACACACTGCAAAGAAAAAGAAATGCTGCAAACAAAAAAGAAATCATGGAAACAGAAAAGAAACGCTGCAAACAAAAAAAGAAATGATTTTGCAGTGTGTCCCTTGTGGGCCATCGTAAATATGTACTGCTTATTGGAATTTTTCAAAATAATATAATTATAAACAATAACATTTATTTTATATTAATTTTATATCAAATTATTTTGAAAATAAAAAAAAAATATACTTGTTTAGTGTCGCACCCTCAGAAATG